AATTGGAAGAGCGGGCGCCCGAAGGTGTGGACTTTTCCACTCTCTTTGATGTAGACATTGCCTGCGTGTCGATGGCCGAGCTTCTGGTAGATCTCCTGCACCTTCACCTCCAGCGAGAGCTCACCATTGGTGTTGAAGTCCCACAGCAGAGCCTGCACCAACCCAGCCATGTCCTGCACCTCCACGGCTTCACCTTCGCAGAAGTGGATACCGGCCTCGGTCGCCTTACGATCAAAATTAGGCCAGTCCGCCTCGTCCCCCATCATGGACCGCGCATCGTCGTGGGGCTGCAGGCAAATGAAGGGCGTGGCGAGCCTTGTGGTCTGGCCCATCTCCAGCTGCTTGGTGAAGTGCTCAGAGACCAGACCCTGCACGAAGCTCACCGCCTTGGGGTACTTTTCGAGCAGGGCCACATGACCTTGCCCCTGCCCACCGCCCACAAGCGGCAATATAAATTAAAAAAATAAAATCAAAATAAATATACAATATACAATATAATATAATATAGTACCTGTAGGTCTTGGATGGTTTGCTGGATGGATTTGTTGGAGAGGTGGGTGTACAGTTTGGGCTTGATGCCGTAGAACTCGGCCTCGGCCAGCACCAGCTTCTCGTCGTGCTGCAGGTGACTCGGCAAGGACCAGCGGTCCGTGCGGAGGTAGTCAAGGATGGGCTCGAAGTAGCGGCCGTTGCGGTCGATGAAGTAGTACTGGTCGTCCACCCTGGTCGAGGGGAAGCGGCCGGAGAGGAGACCAGCAAAGAAGTTGTCCTCCTTGATGAGGGTACTTGTGGTGGTTATGTACTTGTAGCCACCAATGTTTAGCTTCACCACCCCACCGGTGGGCTCCATCACCGTGCGTCTGCTTGGCAGTAAAAATAATTTTATCGTCAGAATTTGTTAACACTTCGCAACTGGCCCACAGAACCACGAGTTGGATTCTCGTCGTGTATTGGCGGACGAAGGAAGGGGAGGTGATTGGCCTCCCTCTCCCCCGAATTTCCGAAATGGTATTTGTTTTTCTTTTTGATTTCAGGTCAACGACTTCGAACAGCTCGACGATGGAGGGCGGCGAGGGCGGCGAAGAGAGGAAGAGGAAAAGGAGACCGTACACCTGCAGGAGGTGCAGGCAACTAAAGAAAGATCATGTGTGCGCTCTCGTCCCCATTCAAAGGGTGAAGGTCGAGGCAATTGAGGGGGCAAAGTCAAGAACAAGAAGGAGGATGGGGATGGAGAAAGGGAAGTTGAGAGTGGTCAACTGAAGAATAAGGCCATGGAAAGAGAAGGGCGTGTTCAAGTAGCTGAATCAGACATTGTGGTAGATGAGGAGGGTTACCACATTTGATGGCCAAGGCTAGAGGCAGACTTTGTTGCCTACCTTGGCAAAGCACTACACCACAACATGCCTTGGTGACAAAGGGGTGAGCAGCTGCACCTTCCTGTCTGTGTCTGGGAGCCATTGCTGGCCCACATCGCCTCTATGCTCTGTTCCTGGTATGGCCTTGAACTTCTGCTTTTGATGGAGGATGCAATAACTCAGTTTCTGGGGCTGCTTGTTTGAAAGACATATGACTGGGGCAGCTATGCCCTCATCACCCCTCCCTTTTGAATTCAGTTTGAGCCATCAGAGATCTTGACAGAGAGTACCTCAAGGTTTTCAAAGGGAGCACAGAATGTGGTCTGCCAACATCTCACCACTCTTATCCATCTCAAACTGCACAACAAGAGGGAAGCTGCCGCCACTGCCACCACTGCCACCACCAACCCCACCAGCCCCATCCAGGTTCCTGTCCACAAGAGGAGCATGAGACTGTGTTTGCTCTCCAATACATAGTTGGAGAACTTCTCCACACCACTGTACTTCTCAAGGAAGTACCCATAGTGATAGATGAAGATATGGATGTATGTGGTGACCTCCTCTGCAGAGTGCATGATGACAAATTGCTGGACACACAGCGAAGAACAGATGATCAGAACCAAACCAGCAATATGATGAGGGCACATAAACTTACCTTGCCAAACACAATTGCCATGTCCTGCCATCACTGGGCTGTGATATTCACATCTGCTTGAGCTGCAAGAGAGGCTAGAGGGTAGTACAGTGCCCATAGCTTACTTGCATGTTCAACATAGGTTGACATGTTGCCAGTTGCATGCCACCGCAAGCTTGCAAAGAAGTGTTCATGGTTCACAAGAATGTGCAGCAAGTCAGGTCAATTCAATCTGTACAACACAAACAGTACACACCATGATTGATTAGTGAGGAGATGTGGTGAGGAAGAGGGGTGGCAGGAAGGAGGAGGACCTGGCTGCTTTAACACATTGGCTGAAGCTCTTCTGTGTTGTGTTTCATCCAACAGAAGGCTTATTGGCAGGGATCTTGATCTTACACTGCTTCACCAGTATTTCTTTGAACTCAGCCATGAGCAGGGCACAGGTTTCGATGTCCTGGGCCAGCAAACTGAACTGTACATCATTGATTAGCTGGTGCATTGTGTGAATGGCCAGGAAAAAGGGCAGTGGAGGACTAATGCTGTACCAGCTTGCACAGAATTGCCATTATGCAGTGCAGG